CATTTGTGAACTAAAAAAAAAAGGAGCTGTAAAAACACAACAAAATATTATTCATAAACTGAAAGACGTATTAATGGGATATATAAAGAAGTAATAATACAACTAATGCTGTAAATATTAATAATTAAAATTTACGTACTGATGATGGAACACCACATGAATATCTCTGTTCATGTAGATAAAAGTAAGTAATTACGAGTATGTAATGATACGTGTAACATACACACACACACACAGAAGGCAGAGAACACACGAAAATAGGGAGATCAGTCGCAGAGCCAGGAATGAGTACGCACAGGTAAGGAGGGAGGCCCAGCGACAGTATGAAAATGACATAGCATCGAAAATCAAGACTGACCCGAAACTGTTGTATAGCCACATCAGGAGGAAGACAACAGTCAAAGACCAGGTGATCAGATTAAGGACAGAAGGTGGAGAACTCACAAGAAATGATCAGGAGGTATGTGAGGAGCTGAACAGGAGATTTAAGGAAGTTTTTACAGTAGAGACAGGAAGGGCTGTGGGAAGACAGCACAGAAGGGAACATCAAGAGGGAATTTTACCAACAAGTGTTGGATGACATTTCGAACAACTGAGGAGGAGGGTGAAGAAGCTCTTTTAAATGACCTTGACACCTCAAAGGCGATGGGACCGGACAACATCTCCCCATGGGTCCTTAGAGAAGGAGCAGAGATGCTGTGTGTGCCTCTAACCACAATCTTCAACACATCCCTTGAAACTGGGCAACTACCTGAGAAATGGAAGACAGCTAATGTAGTCCCCATATTTAAGAAAGGAAACAGAAACGAGGTACTAAACTACAGACCTGTGTCTCTGACATGTATCGTGTGCAAAGTCATGGAGAAGATTATCAGGAGGAGAGTGGTCGAACACCTGGAAAGGAACAAGATTATAAATGAAAACCAGCATGGGTTCATGGAAGGCAAATCTTGTATCACAAACCTCCTGGAGTTTTATGACAAGGTAACAGAAGTAAGACACGAGAAAAGGGTTGGGTAGATTGCGTTTTCCTAGACTGCAGGAAGGCCTTTGACACAGTTCCCCACAAGAGATTAGTGCAGAAGCTGGAGGATCAGGCACACGTAAAAGGAAGGGCACTGCAATGGATAAGGGAATACCTGACAGGGGGGCAGCAACGAGTCATGGTACGTGAAGAGGTATCACAGTGGGCGCCTGTTACGAGCGGGGTCCCACAGGGGTCAGTTCTAGGACCAGTGCTATTTTTGATATATGTGAACGACATGATGGAAGGAATAGACTCTGAAGTGTCCCTGTTCGCAGATGACGAGAAGTTGATGAGAAGAATTAAATCGGACGAGGATGAGCAGGGCTGCAAAGAGACCTGGAGAGGCTGGACATGTGGTCCAGTAACTGGCTTCTCGAATTCAATCCAGCCAAATGCAAAGTCATGAAGATTGGGGAGGGGCAAAGAAGACCGCAGACAGAGTATAGGCTAGGTGGACAAAGACTACAGACCTCACTCAGGGAGAAAGACCTTGGGGTGACCATAACACCGAGCACATCACCGGAGGCACACATCAACCAAATAACCGCTGCAGCATACGGGCGCCTGGCAAACCTGAGAATAGCGTTCCGATACCTTAATAAGGAATCGTTCAAGACACTGTACACTGTGTATGTTAGGCCCATACTGGAGTATGCAGCACCAGTCTGGAACCCACACCTGGTCAAGCACGTCAAGAAGTTAGAGAAAGTACAAAGGTTTGCAACAAGGCTAGTCCCAGAGCTCAAGGGAATGTCGTACGAGGAAAGGTTAAGGGAAATCGGACTGACGACACTGGAGGACAGAAGGGTCAGGGGAGACATGATAACGACATACAAGATACTGCGGGGAATAGACAAGGTGGACAGAGATAGGATGTTCCAGAGAGGGGACACAGGGACAAGGGGTCACAACTGGAAGCTGAAGACTCAGACGAGTCACAGGGACGTTAGGAAGTATTTCTTCAGTCATAGAGTTGTCAGCAAGTGGAATAGCCTAGCAAGTGAAGTAGTGGAGGCAGGAACCATACATAGTTTTAAGAAGAGGTATGACAAAGCTCAGGAAGCAGAGAGAGAGAGGATCCAGTAGCGATCAGTGAAGAGGCGGGGCCAGGAGCTGAGTCTCGACCCCTGCAACCACAATTAGGTGAGTACAATTAGGTGAGTACACACACACACACACACACACACACACATATATATATATCAATTAATTGTTTTTATTAGCTTTTGTGAGAATTGAGTTCACTCCAACTTGTGCCATTGTTTGCTGTATAATGGAAGTGTGCCAGGGAGGAGCACTGGACGAGATTAAGAAAGGTCTGAGAGCGGCCCCGGGAATATAAAGCAGTTGTTGGAATTCAGGTAGACTTTCTACGAAAAATTTGTTCCTTGGATATAGGTGTGTGTGTGTGTGTGTGTGTGTGTGTGTGTGTGTGTGTGTGTGTGAGTGTACTCACCTAATTGTGGTTGCAGGGGTCTAGTCATAGCTCCTGGCCCCGCCTCTTTACTGGTCGCTACTAGGTCCACTCTCTCTCTGCTTCATGAGCCTTATCATATCTCATCCTAAAGCTGTGTGTGTGTGTGTGTGTGTGTGTGTGTGTGTGTGTGTGTGTGTGTGTGTGTGAGAATGTGTTTGGTTTCCATGCAGTAATTAATGAATGCCTCATCCAGTCGGCTCCAAACTTTTAAAGTCTATAAGTTGAGAATGCGGCCTATGAACTGCTTCGGACTTAAATTGCTGATGCATTTTTGGATATTAGTTTGTGTGAGGCAAATAGAGAATGCCTTTTCGGAGGCAGATTCGTCTGTAAAAATTTGCATTTGTGGTCACAGTGGTGCCTACGCTAACTTTCCTATGGTGCAGAAATATACCTAGTTGGATGAATCTTATTGTAGCCAGCTGGCCCAGTGGCTAACGCGTCGGTCTGGAGCACGACTCTCTAACCGCGAGTTGAAGCCCCGCCAGTCGTATAGTTGTTTACAATCGTGTTACTACAATATCGTGAGGCAGGTACAAAGGTCTGTGCTTATGAGACACGAGAACACATTACTTCGATAGAACAGAGACCATAACACATCTAGATTTTATACTAATATATAGAAGAGCCGATTATGTACTCGGGTACACTTTTGTTTTTCTTCAGTCTCCAACAGTTGTGCCATAACATGAAAATAACTCTTCTGACTGGTTTCATCTTTCATTGTTAATATATCATTGTTAATATATCATTGTTAATATATCATTGTTAATATATCATTGTTAATATATCATTGTTAATATATCATGCTACTGAGACATGGGTCTGGATCGGTACTGGAGTGTATGAGTACCAACTTACAATTTTTTTGTGTGTGCATTAACTTTTTTTTCACGAATCAATTTGGGATAAGTGTGTGTATTTTTAACTACTATTTACGTTCGTTTATGTCTTTGTGTCTGCACGTTTTTGCGTGTGTGGGTTTAGGCGCCTTTAATACCTTCACCCATTCTCTTAATCTTTTCATTTTCCTCTTGTCTTTCTCCCTCAACATTTGGCTCCACTCAGGCGCTGAGGTTGTGGTATGAGATTAATCCCGTAAAGTTCATCTTTTATTGCTGGGAATTTGGCATTACTGAAGTATGACGTAAAGATCAAAGTCAGAGTAAATACCCTTTGGCATCTCCATATTTTTTCCCCTCATAATTCCAGCTTATGAAACGGAGTTTTTTTTGAGAAAAATGTTGTCGTTGAAAAAATATTTGAAATATTTATTATATTTTAGAAGGACGCATCATAAATTCTTGACATGTTCTGCTTAAATTATTGTAAAACAATTTTTTCTATTTTTCATAAAAAGTTTTGTCAAACTAATTTACTTGATAATTGACAAAGGAACACTTATAATGATAAACTTTACTGGCTGCATTTTCTGTGTAATTTAGAGACTAAGTCAATAGAAATGAAAAGGCACATTGCCTACCACTCTCTCTCCGACCTCACATCAAACGTGTAATTTAAAAAGAAATACCTTGCAGTAGTGAAAGACGTATATAATGGCTTATAGAAACTTATAGAAAAATGAATATGCAGATCGCAATCATGTTATACACAGGGAAACATATCTTTTTTACAAAGAACTATTCCGAGAAATATCAGGAACTATACAAAGATAACCCGCGCATAGGAAAGAGGAGCTTGTGACGACGTTTCGGTCCGACATGGACCATTTACTAGTCGCACTAACACACGAGGGAGAGGGAGCTAGTGTATATACAGGAGACGCCAGGGACGGGACAAAGAGAGTTAGTATATTCCTAGGAATGGAGGTAAACAAAAGTAAGTCAGATCATAATAATGCATGGAGTGTGTGGAACTGAATTAGGGTAAGTCAAAATGCCAAGCCCCAGCTTTAGGGAGCAGCCGTGAAAGCAAACGTTGACCTTGTTCGTTATATTTAAGGTGCGTTCTAACTAACGCATTATATTTTAAGTACGAACTAAAATATTAGATATATTTAATATGCAGTCTAATGATTGTTGTATACATGTGTTCTAACTAATAATACGTTATTAGGTTATTATTTCTAGCGTATTCTTCTAGCGTCTGTATGCTTGTCGATCGCGGATATGAATTTGAGGCCATTTTTTTTTCTTATAGAAGTATTTCATGTATATTACAATGTTTAATATTTCTGTAGCCAAAATATATTGTTTTATATATTATAGCTAAGATACTGAATATAACAAACTCTCTCGGTGTATATGCACTAGAAATATACACAGTTATACACTAATTCACACTTTTCAGCAGTAACGGTAAAAGCTGTAGCAGCTGTAGCAGTGCAAACAGCAGCCCCAGCAGCAGCAACAACAGCAACCGCAGGACGCGAGAAAGGAGAAAAGCAAAAGTTGTGTTAGAAATTTTAATCAAAACTTGCTGAGCTCCAGAGCAAAACAGGAACCTCAATGAGAAACCTTTCGTGTATTTCAGATGAGCTTTGTATGTGATGGGCGAGGGGTGGCGGCCAGTGGAGAGCGGTGGTCATGGTGGTCCTGTGGCGAGTGTGTGGGCGTGGGCCTGCCTGCTGGCGTGGGCTGCCATGTGCTCGGGGTGGGCTGAGAGCTGCGACATGGGCGAACTTCGCTGTCACGACGGAAGCTGTGTTGCTGCCGACCAGTACTGCGACGGAGAACCCGACTGTCCTAACAATGAAGACGAACCCAAGCACTGTACACGTGAGTACCTGGGTCATTATACCTGTAGTACCTGGGTCCTCATACCTGTACTCCTGGGTCCTCATACCTGTTGTATCTGGGTCCATATAGCTGTAGTACCTGGGTCCATATAGCTGAAGTACCTGGGTTCCTATAACTGTAGTACCTGGGTCCATAGAGCTGTAGTACTTGGGTCCAGATAGCTGTAGTACCTGGGTACATAAAGCTGTAGTACCTGGGTACATATAGCTGTAGTACCTGAGTACATAAAGCTGTAGTACCTGGGTTCATATAGCTGTAGTACTTGAGTACATAAAGCTGTAGTACCTGGGTATATAAAGCTGTAGTACCTGGGTACATAAAGCTGTAGTACCTGGGTTCATATAGCTGTAGTACCTGGGTCCACATAGTTGTAGTACCTGGGTCCATATAGCTGTAGTAACCGAGTCTTCACACCTGTATCTCACGTAAATACCGATGTCATCACACATGTATTACACATAACTACCTGCGTCTTCACATTTGTACCACATATTAGTACATGTGTTATCACACCTGTAGCGCACACAAGTACCTGCCTCCTCACACCTGTAGCGCACATACCTTCCTGGGTACTTACATCTTGTAGTGCACGTAACTTCCTGAGTCCTTACACTTGTAATACATAAAAGCACCATTTTCTTCGCACGTAATGCTAAAACCTTGAAGCTATAACACAGACGAGTCTAAGATTTTTAGATTTTGCCACCGAAGTGGCTAGTTTATTGTGCACCCCATATTCATCCTGTGGACGGTAGCGCGAGAGCATGTGGATACACAAAGTCTAAGAGATCTTAGGATGTACATTTTTAGTCTCATGCCAGAATGAATTGCATGTGCAGGTGGCTCATTCTGAGGAATAGTTATGAATGATTGGAATTAAAATGCCAGATGCCATCAATGCCGGTCGACTGAACAGAAACTCTCTCTCTCTCTCTCTCTCTCTCTCTCTCTCTCTCTCTCTCTCTCTCTCTCTCTCTCTCATATTTACTTTGACCCTACGCCACAAACAGCGTAGAGGCGTACTGCTCCCTACGGAAAAGATAGGTTTGCGGCATTCGCCAATTACCAATACGCAACATCACTGGTCCATTCCCTTCCAAAACTCTTCCATATAAACGAATTTTGGAAATCTGTCCATTTATGGGGTAAATATTTCCTCTCCTGAGCCACCGTTGACGGGAAATATTATCGGAAAACCCATCCGCTAGATCGGATACGCTTTGTGTTATATTTTTTTTGGATAAAGTAAGGTTTGACGTGATCGTTGTAGCCAGGAGGGAAGGTTTATTGATTTAGGCAGGCTGGTGCACACGAGTGTTGTGTGTGTGTGTGTGTGTGTGTGTGTGTGTGTTGTGTGTGTGTGTGTGTGTGTGTTTGTGTGTGTGTGTAATTTCCTATTTGCAATTACCTTTTTCGTAGCTTCTGGAGTACAGCTATTCTGATACAACATATCTTCAGTGTACAGTCTAACACATTATTCTTTTTCCATTTTTCCAGTAACTATAGAGCATCCACTTCATTTCCATCCCATGCTTACCATGCTTCAGCCACTCTCTAAACAATTAGTAATATTACATTATTAATAACGCCCATAGAAGAAGACAGCTAAATTCGTAGGGGTCATACAGCACCTAGAAGACTGAATGCTTTCAGGTTACATTCGAGGAACTGAATCACTGGTCTAGTTCTTTATATCAAGTGCCGCTCACTAGCGTATCTTGAAGTTAAGTCCTCTTTTATAATTATACATTTGTGCATTAATGTTTTCAACAGCGGATACCACCATCAGTATTTGCGCGGCATAAGCTCTAGTTCTTGAGCCCACCCTTTTAAACAAATTTTGGAGAAATAATTTTACAGCCCCCAGTACTGCATTCGATTTCCAAAGAAAGACATTACACAGACAAGCAGTGCAGCTAATTCCTCATACGTCAAGTCTGCTATTCACCGTAGAAATATTGCCCAAACTGCAATTCTCTCTCTCAGTAGAAAGTGCTGAGGTAGCCCACGGAACAATGCTGATTTCCACATCATTACATATTGTTCCCTCAGATCACAATGAACTGTGCAATATTATATTTGAGTTTGTTTTTTGTTCCATTGCGAAGTGTGGTACAAGAAGGAAGGGGGAAGTGAGAAAGACAGAGAGGTAAAGAGGAAGGGAGAGAGAAAGAGAATCAGTAGGCAATGACAAGGAAGAGTCCTGTTACGGGAAAGGGCTCCCATTTGCTCTCAAACGGAAAACAAATGAGTTTCTATGAAAAGAGAATGAGAGATTTAATTGAAAATTCGTACGAACAACACTGTTCTTTATTCAATTAAGAATTTAAACAGAGAAAGCAGCTGACAGTAAATTATTGCTAGGATCACCATGCAAACTGAGAGACAGTTAAAGTATATACTGTCTGTGTGTATATATATATATATATATATATATATATATATATATATATATATATATATATATATATATATATATATATATATATATACACACACACATACATACATACATACGTCCCCCCAAATTCGCGGGGCTAAGTTCCAAGACGACCCACGAATTTGGAAAAAACCGTGAATCCTAGACGTGGGTAAAAAAAAATTTCCTATAAATGCTTATTTTTATAGTTTAAACACTAAATATACCCCCAAAGCACTTATGTAAAAAAAACACATACAGTACTGTATTGCTATGTCTTCCGCAGTACTAGAATGTAAAATACCGATGTTACCCCCCGTATGTACTGTAATTCAGGCAAGCCCGCTTTCTCTGGTATACTGTAATTCATGCGAGCAGTCATCAGTTAGGCGAGCAATTATCAGTTAGGCGCTAAGGAAAAATCAGCGAATTAATGAAGCAGCGAATTCGGAACCGCGAATTCGCGGAGGTCCAAGGTATATGCAGAACAACCTGTGTGAAAAAATTGTGAAATTCCAGGCGTTTCGTGAAAGTTCCTTGATAATGTGAGATATCACGAAAGCGCTTGGAATTTCCCTTTTTTCGCATTAGTTGTTCTGCATATTGTGATATCACCTGTTTACTGTGAGTTTATTGCATATTATATATGTACATATAATTTATTATAATTTATATGTATGTGGGTAGATTGGTAAAGCACTACGTACCTTGTTCCAAGGTTCGTAGGTTCGAGTCTCCTTCAGCCAGAGATCAATGTTTATATATATATATATTATATATTATATATATATATATATATATATATATATATATATATATATATATATATATATATATATATATATATCCTCCATGGAGAAGTGGAACAGAATTCTTCGTCCGTAAGCTATGCGTGTTGTAAGAGGCGACTAAGATGCCGGGAGCAAGGGGCTAGTAACCTCTTCTCCTGTATATATTACTAAATGTAAAAGGAGAAACTTTCATTTTTCCTTTTGGGCCACCCCGCCTCAGTGGGATAATATATATATATATATATATTATATATATATATATATATATATATATATATATAATATCAATGCACCACGCAGAAGCAAGCGGGTATATACAAAGAAAGATCGCAGTCAGCAGGATTCGAAACTACTACTGGGGACGGTCAAGATTCCCAGGCAGCATTCTAGTCCACTCTGCCTGGGAATCTTGATCGTCCCCAGCAGTAGTTTCGAATCCTGCTGACTGCGATCTTTCTTTGTATATACCCGCTTGTTTCTGCGTGGTGCATATATATATATATATATATATATATATATATATATATATATATATATATATATATATATATATATATATGTATATATAACCTGTAATTACAACTAGTAGTACCGACATCTAACGAGCTCGCATGAAGAGACAAAAAAAATTGAAGCTGGTAATGCAATATAATTGAACTGGTCTCTCTGCATACCTAGACCCTCGACTCAGATTACACAACCCACTTATATCATTAGACGGTGTTTTATTGTTGTCTCTGATGGTTGGTATCAGCTGAGTGACAAGACCTCGTGAAGAGTTGGTGTAAGGTTTGAGTGTTTTATGAAGGCATCATAGAAATAATTGTTACGGATCATAGGAGAGGTTTCGGTATCCTGTCCGCGGTCCATCACTATCAAGTATAATTATTAGTGTTATCGTTATTTTATTTTATTATTGTCGAGGTCCTTTTTAGTTATAATCAGAATCATAATGAAATTGAGAAAATATTGTTACTGAGAGTAATGAAAATAGTATTCATAACAATGATATAATACAAGAACAATGACAGCGACAAGAACATCGACAACAACAGCAATAACAATAAAAGCACCAGCAATAACAATAATTTATGCATCGCCAAAATGAGTTTTAATATTGAAATCACCATTAAAGGTTTTTTTTTTTACAATAAATTCATAAAAACTCCCCTTATTATTACAAATTCCTCCCTATGGGCCGGGAGAGAACCAGTCATCCTGAAAAAAATTAATTAAACTGTCAAACTATCAAGCTGTCAAGCCTATATCAAAATATTTATATATCTGGATTGTTATAAAACGGGGTGTTATAATTATTTGTTGACGCAGAAAAGCAATTTTGGCACTGGCTCAATTGTAAAAAATCTTTACAAAAGAAGTGGGTCAGGCTGAGTTTATTTGTTTGTCAGTGTAGGTTTTTTTTTTTGTGTGGAGAAATAACGTATCAACCTTCACGCGTCAAAACTTACCGGATTGAATGGAAGAAAAAACAGAGTAAAGGTTTGCTCTGTTTTCTTCTTCTGTTTATAGATATCTTACTCTACATAGAGCTCTGTACATAATGCCATGCTCCAATAATGTCTTTCAGAACAGCGATTGAGCGATCGTTTTTAAAATCAAAGGGACTCTGGTTTGAGAAGTATGCATATATCTCTCTACACCTGCTGATCCTGTTCACCTGGCAGTAGACGAGTTAGTCGACAGTTGTGGGTGACATCACAGAGGTGGTAGCATGATGAAAACAATGCTGTGAAACGAGTTGAGGTACG